CTGTAAAATGTGAGTATACATTCATGAGATGTCACAATAACTTATAATGACCTATGACTTATAAATGTTGATGCGGAAAGGTACGAAAGAGAGACAGAGAGAATGAATTAGTCCAAACAAAAAGGCCTATTGCTATAACTGATGAACTGTATCAAGATCATGTGAACCAAATTTGGTGTGTTAGAAACTAGGCCTAATTGTTGGACAAAATAGTGAGGTGATGGGCTATTCTACCCATCACTCCCTTTTGAGGTCCTTTAAAAACAGAGACTTTGAGGAGAAAAATTGACTTACCAGAGTGAGCTTCACCATCATGGCTGACACCCCTACCATCTCCTGGGACCTCAGGCCTTCGTCATCCTGATCCTGAGAGATGTCCTAATCAGACTGGGCCAGAAAGAGGGACACAGATTAAATCACCACCTCTACCAGCTCCATCTAAATCCCAAACACCACCTGGGATAAAATGGGAATTGGACTTTAAGAAAAACAGCAACAATAATAGGTCCAGCCCATCTCTCGCCAGCTAAAGGGAAAGGGAACAAGGGTTGTTAAAATGAAAATCTTAATATTTTCCCTTCCTTTCTTTATCTTTAATAAAAGGATAAAATGCTTTTAATGGCGTGTTTGCCATGGTACTAAGCAGACTGAGGTCTCTGTATACCAAATCCCGAATCTTGTTTAACATTGTTTAATGTTGGACAGTGAGTGGGTAATATTAAACACCTTTGGCCCATATATTTCATCTAAATTAATACAACAGTGACTTTATACAATAATAGTAATATGTAGTTCTTATATAGTGCATCAGTAGATCTCAAAGCATTTCACAATCTTTAATGTATTTATCCTCACTACACTCCTCTGAGGTAGGGAATTATGATTCTCCTTTTTATAGACAGGGAACTGAGGCACAAAGATGCTAAGTGACTTGCTTAAGGTCTCAAAGGAAGTTTGTGGTGGAGCTAGGAATTGAAACTGGGTCTCCCAAGTAATTTAGTTTACCCCATGCCTCAGTTTCCCATCATTAAAATGGAGATTATACTTCTCCGCCTCACAGGATTTTGTAAGGATAAAATCCACAAGGTGCTCAGATATAATTATGGTGATGAGAGCCTGTCAGAGTTCCTTCCTCACTCTGATGTGGGTACAGATGTGGGGACCCACATGAAAGCCCCCTAAGCTTATTTCTACCAGCTTAGGTTAAAACCTGGTACACTGCCACCACCAAGTGATTTAACAAGAAACAGGGAAAGGACCACTTGGAGTTCCTCTTCCCCCCAAATACCCCCCCAAGCCCTTACACCCCCTTTCCTGGGGAGGCTTGAGAATAATATCCTAACCAATTGGTACAAAGTGATCAAAGACCCAAATCCCTGGGTCTTTGGACAATGGAAAAATCAGTCAGGTTCTTAAAAGAAGGATTTTATTAAAAAGAAAATGTAAAAATCATCTCTATAAAATCAGGATGGAAAATAACTTTACAGGGTAGTCAGATTCAAAGAGTCCAGAGGAACCCCCTCTAGCCTTAGTTTCAAAGTTACAACAAAACAGGGATAAACTTCCCTCTAGCAAAGGTAAAATTCACAAGTTGAGGAAACAAAGATAAACTAATACGCCTTGCCTGGCTGTTACTTACAAGTTTGAAATATGAGAGACTTGTTCAGAAAGATTTGGAAAACATGGACTAATGTCCGGTCCCTCTTAGTCCCAAGAGCAAACAACCCCAAAACAAAGAGCACAAACAAAAGCCTTCCCCCGCCCCAAGATTTGAAAGTATCTTGTCCCTTTATTGGTCCTTTGGGTCAGGTGTCAGCCAGGTTACCTGAGCTTCTTAACTCTTTTCAGGTAAAAGGATTTTGGTGCCTCTGGCCAGGAGGGATTTTATAGTATTATACCCTTGTTGTTACCCTTCCCTTTATAGTTATGACAGAGCCATACAAATAGGTAGGGTAGACAGATAGGAAATGGTTTGATTTAGTTCCAGTTTCAGGTATCTGTTCAGGCTGGGTAGTATGTATTAAGTGCCATAGAATAGATAAGATAGCCTGGAAGATGAAAAGCATTAGACAAAGGTTAAGTATTATTATTATTTGCCTGAACCTATTTATACCTATCCTTAATAAATAATATCAAATCTGCTAAAAGAACAAACAAAATAAACCTCCCTCAACTCAACAGAACTGAAACTTTAAGTAACAAAAGTGCTGTACAGCATGCTTGATAGTTGCACAATAACCCTCACTAAAATCAATGCTGGGCTGTGGGATTGAAGTATTGTGAACCCTAAATTGTTTCAGTTTGAGGATGTGCTTTGCTTTAACTGGGGGAGAGTACATGAAAGACTGGCTTGTGTGTATGTGTACTATTGACCTTTACTGAAACGAATATGTCAGACTTACTCATATGCATAAGAGTTCCTTCTACTGGCTGCACTGGTGGAACTGCTGCTGAGTTAATTGAGTAGAGGCTTGTGTTTTTGGAGCTAAATGGCACAAGTTCTATTGTGGAAGCTGCATCCAAGTGGTTGGCCTGTGCTCAGGGTGTTTGCATATGACTAATTTGTTCCACTTAGTAAGATGTGAAACAGCATATGTCATATTTTGAACCTTTGATCTAAATGAAGAAAACAAGGACTAATTCATTGTTTCAGACAACAAACTTCTGACACTGAAAAGGAAAAAAAGTAATAAAGCCAAAAAAGAGAATGAAGAATTATATTTAAGTTGCAACACTTGATCTGGTCGACTGCTTGTAGACTGGGGGCCACTGCTTAATCGCCTAGTATAGGACAACTGTGCTGTTAATCTTATGTGATCCATTTGTGTCTTGGAGATTACATCAGATTTTACCATATCACAGTACATTATAGAATAATAAAAGCACAAATACATCACATTACAAGGCATCAACTACATGAAAAATGCAAGACAGCATTTATTCTTAGGGAACAGTGATTAAGAATATCTTATTCATAGACTAAAATCATGTATTTTATAATAGTATATGATCCTTTGTGTGATGATAGTCTAATATTTTAGCAATGTCCTAAATTGTCATGATACAGGACATTTGGCACTAGGAAAGGGGCATTCCTTAAAATAACAAACAGCTGATCTCCTTAGCTTCTACCCTGATCTGGAGAGACTACTTTTAGAAATGAGAGGGGTTTTCTAATCATCATTCCTTTAGCTTCTCTGCTGCGACTGTCAAAAAAGTCATCAATTAATATCTACTTGATGGTGGTTTCTGTGATGCAGACACCATTGTAAATCCTGAGTAACTCCACTGACTTTAGGGAGCTACTCTGGATTTACACAGCATCTTATCTTCTATATATCCCAATTCCTTGAGCCATATAGTGCATTCTGATATCCTTGATTTAATAGATGGTGATTGTGAGAAATCATGAGGAATATTTCATTGATGATGTAGGTAAGGATTTTGTAACTAGAAAAGAAGATTTTCAAGGAATTACTTTAGTTATTTTGCCAAGTTAAAAATTGAGAGGTCTTAGGTAAAATTGAGCGTAACATGGCTACCTCTCTGATACTTGGAGCCTGGCAGAGTTACTGCAGCATATCGTGAGATCAGAAAAATACAGTTTGTTCCAGTTATGGAATAACCATGAAACTAGAGAACTTATTGAACAGTGAGTGGTACAAAAAGCATGTAGGGGAAAGTCATCTACTGCTAGGATCCTGGAGAGATTCTAATAGTCAGGGATATATTTGGATGTAGTGGAGTTTTGTGAGCCTTGCGCTGAATGTCAATTAACAACATCACCATAGGTGACAGAGAGTTACATTAATACCCCTCTGGATGATGGAAGTGGTTGGTTGGTTGGTTTTGTTTTTAAAATAGTAAGTCGGGGAGCTTCTGTACATGTGTGGTACTTTTAGTGTGTGTGATAAATACAACAACCACTACACCCTTGGGATAATTAACAATAAAATTGTTATACTTTATATGCAAATTAACTCCCCTTAGACCTCTACATGAAAGTGGCATGGTAAAAATCTAACTACTAACCTGAGAAGTCTTCTTTATAGAATGAAGTGCTTGGGTTTTTGGGTCACTGAATCAAACTGAGAAATAAAATATGTTTTTTTTAATAAACTTTACATAGAAAAGAGTGAAGGTGTATATTTAATTTTGTTCTGACTTGGATGTGTTGGATTTGCTCTTCTTTAGAGCAGCGGTAGATAGTGGTGGGTGTTCGGTGACTGTATATAGAGGGTAAGTTGGGAAGATGCTGTAGGAATATAGGTTTGGGAGGGATAGATATTTGTTCTATTCGTATATGAAAGGTAAGAGGCAAGATGTTAGCTTAAAAACTCCAGCAGCTTCCCAGCACCTCTCTACTCCTGTAGAGCTTATATATTCTGTCAGGGTCCCTTCATTAGAACATCTGATGAAGTTTTCTTAACTTTGCCAGGGACCCTGCAGAGAAGTATTAGAGCATATGGCTAAGGATATGGGCTTGAAGCCTGCCACAGACAATAAGGTAATTGGGGATTAAGTTATGTAAAGGATTTAAGTCTTCAAACTCACATGTACCCTCCTCGTTCTGTTCAGAATTTCTTAAACTACCAAAGGGAGGTGCACAGTTGTAAACACCATGGTGCTCTCATAAGTTTGTAAACAATATAGCATGTTAACATAAAAAAAGTTATGAAAACAGACATCAGTCCTTAGGAATTATAGGATAAGCAAATGTGCAGTTTCCAGACCAAAGTGTTTTTGAGATATGATGCAGCAAAATGTTTTAGGGGAATTTTGCAAAAATGAAAACCTACAGTTTCAGACTTGACAAGTACCTGATCCAATTAACCACAAACTTCTAGAAAATGTCCTCTGGCAGAGATAATTTAGGCAGGTTGATTTAGTTTGGGCAAAGTTAGTGATTGTGGGGGGAGCAGGAAATTTGTGAAAATTGTGTTTATAATGAAAAAGTATTTAAAACTCTGGCTTCATAATTTTTTTAATGCTGTTTACAGGTTGTTCTTAGTGACATTGACATCTCACTGTGAAAACTTTCACGCTGTTGGACTACACACGGTGGGTACAGTATTTCTTTAAGACACACATTATCTTAGTTCTAAATGCATGAATGTACACAACCATAAAACAATGTTTTAATTTTTCTATTTATAGTCACTACCAAACCTTGTAGTTCAATCCTACAGTTATCTCAATTTTTGCCTGCAGTCAGATCTGTTTATATTTTTAAATGTTTTTCAGACTCCAAGAGTTGCATGTCTAGCATCTCTTTTTTATATATTTTTTGCAGTGGGCTGCCCTGGAAGTGATTCTTAAACCGGAGAAGGTATTGTTTTGGAGTTTTGTATTTTAAATTATTATTCTTACAATGATTTTTTTCTTGACTATCTTTGGGAAGTAGAGGAGAAGTTATTACTCTTATATACAGGCTGTTCAAAACACACAAACACATGAGGGGAGGGTAATATGTATGGGGAAAATGTCTCCATCAGGAAGTTAACCCCTGCTAAACCCATCTGACATCACCAAAGGCTCTTATTAACCACCAGAGGTAAGTGATAGTAATGACTTAATGTACAGAAGTTTTTAATTACATATAAGTAATGGCTTTTTTCTTCCTTACTTGAGAAAAAATAAATTGAAAAACACTAAAAAAATGTCTTGGTCCATACAATTCAAACATTTACAGTATGAATACAAGAGTTTGGATTGGGTCTGTTTTATATGCTCTGTGCTAGCCAATGATGTCTGATGGGCTGGCCTTGAGACTGCTGTTGGTGTTTACTATAGGGTGTGACTAGACTCTGGAAGTATGTGTTGTTTTCCTTGGTATGAAAAGTGACATATTTTAGTCCTTTGGCTGTTGCTCTCAGAGTACACAAGGCTCTTAGTTCTGGGGATGTCAATGGGCCATGTGGATGGTGACTTTCCTTCTTTTGTCAGATAATTTTTTGGGAACCACAAAGATTTACATTTCAGTTGGCAAGGGAGACAGCCCTAGTTTCAGCCCTGTGTTGTGGCCAAATCTGATGTAGAATATTGCAGTACAGCCTTTGTTCTCCAAGGTTACCAGAGGCAGTGTGATTCCAGGAGACTGAGAACAAGCAAACTTTTTAAGGTTGAAGGAGAGCTATGAACCTGGCTACCATGACAATCAGTGTCACTCTCTCTTTAGATTCATTATATATATATTCACATACATATATACATACATTATTATTTATTTTATTTATTAGTGTTGCCTGGAATGATCTATTCACTCCGCCACAGCCATACTCTTGCACATGTATTCTCCATCTTCTGCATACATGCTACTCTCATTATTGATCCTGAGAATTAAGTGCATGAATTGAAGAAAAAACATCGCTCTTTTATTGTAATATGGTTGTTAGGTTTTTGATAGCCACAGCTTTCCTTCGCCCCTGATTTATTATTTACCTGCTCTATGTCAGTTTGACTTCTCTACTGATTATAATTCTGGTTCATGATTTTTCAGTCACAAGTCTCTCTGATCCTCTTTGTAGTATTTTAATGCGTTGTGTTTGCTTAAGCCCTTAGTTACTCTGCAGACCAGTGTTGTGCATCCAGGATGAGCATCTCTAGCACTGCTTAGAATGCTTTCTGTTGGGTTACATGGGATTTTCTTTTTATTGTTGTATAGGCTTGAAAAAACAGAAGTGAATGAAGGAATTTCTTGTGATTTTAAAGAAAATATTTTTCTGATTTGAGTGCTTTCTTATTAGTAAAATTGATATTATTTAGCATTTACTGTGTATAATGCTTTATGTTTTCAAAGTGCTGTGCATACAACTAATTAATCATTACAACATACTTGGGAAGTAATTATGATGAGCATTATTTTCATTTTACAGGTTTGTAAAATGTGACACAGAAAGACTAAGGGCTTGACTTACAACAGTGCTGACCAGGGCCGGATCTGGCTTTTTGGCTGCCCCAAGCAAAAAAACAAAACAAAAAAAACGGGGTGACCAGAACGGCAAAGCAAAAAAAAAAAGAAAACCTGCGGCGCGGCCGGAGCGCGGGTACAGGGGGACCAGCTAGCGGGGGAGGGGAAAGGAGCAGGCGGGAGAGAGAGAGAAGGGGGGCGGCCAGGGCTACAGCGGGGCGCTGCCACGTGGCCCCTCGCGCCATGCCGCCTGCTGCCTGCCGCCTGTCAGGAGGACTCCGCTCCGGTTGGCTGGGAGGGAAGGATGTGGGCTGCCCTGCCGGGCTTGCTGCAGGGCGCTCCCGTCCTCCGCGCCACCGCCCCCAACAGGGCGGCCGGAGCGGAAACAAAAAAAAAATAAAAAAGCGGCCGTGCCGCCCTAGGATTGGGCAGAATGCCGCCTCGTTCAATCTGCCGCCCCAAGCACCAGCTTGCTCAGCTGGTGCCTGGAGCCGGCCCTGGTGCTGACGGCCCACAATTCCAGCCAAAATGTTTTCCCATCTTATAGGATCACTTCTTCCTGTGTGAGGCTGCTGCCAAAACCAATGTCCAATTCCATATATTGACAAAAGAATATGTCATATCCTCCTTCCTCCTCAAACCTCCTGGTATATCTTTGTTGCCATTGTTAAGTTTTTCCTTCTAGGGATATGATAGCCAGCTGCAGTATTGTTCTGACGAATCAGTATTTCCTTACATATAACCACAAATACACTGATCCCTTAGAGTGAAAGACCAAAAATGATACTGGCTTCTCCTACGAAGAAGGTTCCAGGATGAGCAGTACCTTTGACCCCTCACTCAGGCTCTCCTTGGGCACCCCTTCCAACTGCTAAGCCCAGGCCTATATTTCCCTTAGGGTGGAATCCTGCGTTCATCTCACTCTTAGACTTTGTTTACACTAGCACATTTGTCAGCAAAACTTTTGTCAGTCAGCGGTGTAAAAAAACCACACCCCGACTGACCTAAATTTCACCAACAAAAGTGCCAGTACGGACAGTGCAATGTCAACAGGAGATGCTCTCCTGCTGACATAGCTACCACTGCTCATTGGGGGTGGTTTAATTATGCCAGCAGGAAGGTTCTCTTCTGCCAGCATAGAGTAGCTATACAGGAGACCTTACAGCAGTTCAGCTGCACTGGTACAGTTGTGCTGCTGTAAGGTCCATACTGTAGACATAGTCTTAGACAGGGTCTCTGGTCACACAGCACCCCTGTTCACCAACCATGAGTTCTCAGCAGGACCAGTTGAGTTTTGGTCCATCCTATACGTTTCTCTCTGGAAGCTGTGAACAGTTTGAAAGGGCAGTGACAGAGAACAGCTTGTTCAAAACAAAATGCCACTTATTTTTCCATAGGAATGTAACAAACAGAGAGGAAAAACCTTAAAACAAGACAATCCTAACACATTGTTTTACCTAAGCTTAGCGTTTCCCTCAGGCAGTTAAGCAGAACCAATTTAGCCTTGCTACCCACCTCCACCCCTGTTCTCTTGGGGACCAAGTAACAGCTTCCTTCTCTTCAGACCCTCTGTGTTTCCTGTCTTTTCAGAGGCTCAGCTTTTAACTGCTTTCAAGCTCTTTGTTTAATAATTCCCATCTTAATCCCTCTTAAGACACAGACTGGGACTTTCCCTCTGCCTCCTGGGATAAACCAGAGTCTGATTCCATATCACTAGAGGTAAACATCAAAGCAATTAGCACGTACATTGGCCATCCAAGTACCACAAATTGGGGCTGGCTACAATCACTAAGTTTAGTTCTGCAAACCAAAGCTAACTAAAACTGATTTAACCATTTAGCCAGCAACACAATAACCACCAAACCTACAGATAAAAGTAATCCAGTTAATACAGAAAACGCCCACGTTCTTCACTGTCATAAATTGTTAAAGTCCCTCCATACTTGTTTTATATTATATGGTCATGAGTTTGTTGTCTCCATCAAGAACAGCAAGAGGTTTGTTGTCCAACAGTCTTGTCATTAAACAAAAGTCTGTCGTATATATGTGTTTGAAAGCACTAGGCATCTCATCCTCCCTTCAAGGCTCTGCATAAGTCTACTTCTGCCTACTTCTCTGCCCTGATTTCTGCCAGTCATACCATCTTCCATACTGGTTCCTCCCCTGCTCAGCACCTCCCAGGAGACTCTCAGCACCTTGCAGTATTAGGCTCTAAAGCCAAGGACCCCTAAGACTATACCAAGTTTGACATGCAGAGGGGTAGTATGTAATAGCTTTTAAAATGTCAAAAAGAAATTAAGTTTGGTTTACAAACTGGGCATTTCTGGAGATGAATGAGAGGTGGTTGGATTTTAAATCTTTTGCCATGTCTTTAAAACAAAGGACCTTAAGGCTTTTTGATTCTGTTAGCTTTCCTTTCTTGTGTTAGGATTACAAATCATAACAGTCGAGTATATCACTGTGGAATTTTTTTCAAGAAAAGTGATTGAAGAAGTTGTGATTTTAATGTTTTATTTTTTATCTGTCACAGGATTCGATTTTTATAGAGAAAAAATCTTTGACTCTGAAAAAAGAAGAACAGGAGTACTTGTGGCACCTTAGCGACTAACAAAGCATAAGCTTTCGTGGACTACAGCCCACTTCTTCGGAAGAAGTGGGCTGTAGTCCACGAAAGCTTATGCTCTAA